TGGACGAAAGGAGTATCTTTTTTTTTATCATCAAAACATGTCTCTATTCATATCAAAAGATTTATCAGGATCATTACGTCAAACAAAGGGAAAATAAAACAGACACCAAAGGATCATTACGAAAGGAGTATCTTATTATTAGTAAGTCGCAAAACCTTAATTGCCCGCATTTATAACATTTTTACTAGTTCACCTAGCCAATTTGGTCTAACTACATATTTGAAGTCACAAATTGACATTATTGGGGTTGTATGAGTAGATTAAGAGCCCGTTTGGTAGCACGAAAATTGGTTGTTTTAGCTGATTCTGCTGAAATTTATGATGTTCTGGCTGGAGTGGCTGCATTGACTGATTCTACTGATTTAAGAAGAAAAAAATTTTAAAATATATTTTATTAATAAAATAAAGAAAAAATTATATGTAAAATAGCTTATGATCATCTACAGTAACTTCAGCCAATACAACCAAAAAAGTAACTTCAAAAGCAAAAGTTACGTGTTTGATGAAAAAGTTGGCTGATAAGTCTGATAAGCCGAAAAAACGGCCTCTAAGAGTCCGTTTGGTAATATTAGAATTGACTCAATCGGGTAAATCTAGAGCCCTTTAGGTGAACGCTTTTTTCGGCTTATCAGGCTTACTTTTCTGGATGTATTGGCTGAAGTTACTGTAGAGGATCATTTTAGCTATTTTTTCATATAATTTGTTATTTAATTTATTAATAACAAACATTTTAAATGTATTTTTTTCATGAATCTGCATAATCAGCCAATACAGCCACTTCAGCGAGAACTTCATAAATTTCAGCAGAATCAGCCAATTCTAGTGTTATCAGACGGGCTCCTAGTTAAATTAATAAAATTCTTTCTGAAATGACTGAATTGATTGATTATGCTGAATTATGAAAAAATTATGTTTGAAATATATTGTATTATTAAGTAAATAAAAAACTATGAAAAATAATTACAATTTTGCTATGGGTACCCAAAAGGTATATTTTAATTACCCCATATAAAAACCCTCCCCACTTTTTTTCTCCCCTCCCTCCCTTCCCCACTTTTCTTCTCCCCTCTCCCTCCCTCTCTCTCCTGCACCCCCACCTCTCTTCCTCCCTCCCACTCCTCTTTTTACACGTACCCCCCTTCCCCTTTCTTCTCCATTTCAAGATATTTCTCCTTCTTTAAAACTTCCCATTTTTACCATCTTTCCCCCCTTCAACCTCCGATCTTCTCCTGCTTTTCTCCTCTTCCACCGGTGACGTTGCCGACGGCGGCCCTATGCCGGTTGCCGACGGCGGGCCTACACTGGTTGCCGTTTCGGATGCAACCTCAAGGGAAGACAACGACGAAGGCATACCAAGAAATTGTGAATAGATTGAGCAATAGATCTTCTTTTCTTGATTTTGTTTTCTTGAGTTTTGATGTATTTTCGAAATAAAGGGGGTTGTCTGTCTGACAGACAACTTGTAAGTGCAGTGTCGGTAAGAGTCGTGAAATTGTTTATCATTTGAAAACTAAATGTCTGTAATTGCTATTTAATTGTTTGTCATTTGTTTATTAGTTGTCTGTATTTGTTTTGAGTTGTTTGTCATGTTGTTGTGAGGTGTCTGTAAGAGTCGAGAAGTTGTCTGTAACTCATATTTAGTTGTTTGTCATTTCATTGTGAGATGTATGTAATTTGTGGTGAAAAATAATGTCTGTCTGGTTATCTCTATTATATTGTCTGTCTAGTGATACCTATTATCTGCCTTTTTCATGAAACATATGCCAAAATGGTAATTCACAATAAAGTAATGTCTGTATGTGTATACTTATTGTTTGCATGTGTATATTTAATGTATGTCTCGTTATACTAATTACATCTCAAAATGTAAACATCACAAATTACATACAGACAACTCAAAACAAATACAGACAACTAAAAACATTTACAGACAACTCAAAACATATGAAGAACAATTAACCATCAATTACAGACAGACAGACAACTTCACGACTTTTACAGACACTGCACTTACAAGTTGTCTGTCAGACAAACATCCTTTTTTATTTTGAAAACACATCCAAAAAAAACAAAAAAAAACAAAATGAAGAACAAGAAATCAAGAAAATAAAATCTGGTCTCAAGTCATTCCAAACTTCTTGGTCTACACCTTCGTTGTTCCTTCTTGTTCACCAAGCTCTACCCATTCGCCCGACTAGTGTAGCTCCGCCATTTGAAACAGAAAAAAAAAAGGTGGAAGAAGAGAGAAGCAGGAGAAGAAGGTTGGAGGAGGAAAAGAAGGTAAAAATGAGAAACCTTAAAGAAGGGGAGATCTAGAAATGGAGAAAAGAGAAAGAGAAAGGGGAAGGGATGAGGCTGCGTGAAAAGATAAAAGAATCAAGAGAGATAGAGAGGGAGGGAGGGGAGGAAAAAAAGTGGGGGAGGAAGGGAAGGGAAAAAGTGGGGAGGGTTTTTATATGGGGTAAACATGGGGTACCTTTTGAGGTACCCACAGCAAAATTGAAATAATTAAAATGATTTCTGTTGCAACTTTAATCAATTTATTGAGATAAGTAACTCAAACTTTACTTATTTTGATTAATACAAAATTCTGTTCGTGAAATCAAAAATTTCATAATTAATGAAAAGACTGACCGATAAGATTGATGAGATGAAAATGAAAATTCACAAACAAACTGTAAAAGTGGTGGATTTTGTTAACTGTTCAAATATATTGGTAAGACCAGAGTTGTAGAAGTCGAATATGATGTCATGGTTCATCTAGTTGCTTGAATTATTAATTATTATATTGTTATATACTTATATCGAGGGCAGTTCACTTCAGGAGTTCCTGATGAGAAGCCCCGTGCGGACAAGACCATCAGAGGGTCTTCCCGGTGGAATTTTTCGATGAACATTTTTGAGCATGTTCTTCATCAAGTCTAGTTTGTCCATACCAAATTTCAGCTTAAAATTCGATCGGAAGGCAGTCAAATAAATCCTGGAAAACTATGGCTCATTCTGCGCATATATAAAGTGCAGTATGTTTCCAGGATTTATTTGACTGCCTTCCCGATCGAATTTTGAGCTGAAATTTGGTATGGACAAACTAGACTTGATGAGGAACATGCTCAAAATATTTCATCAAAAAATTCCACCGGGAAGACCCTCTGATAGGCTTGTCCGCACGGGGCTTCTCTTCAGGAGCTCCTGATAGGAACGAGACTCTACGGTCGACAACTATATACTTAATTCTTAGTTGTTTGCATCAATCGTTATTCAGTTATTGTACCGTATGACTGGTATACGGTGAGCACCTTATACCGGCATACGGTTTTAGGCATTTTTGGAAGCTCTGCATGAAACATGTATTAAAATGATAGTGGGTCCTATTATTTATTTATTTCTCTTATTGATAAAAACTATAACAACTTTTTCATTTGCGATCTGGTTTTTATAAAAATTTATATCAATTTTTTTTATTTTTCATGATCTTTCAAATGAGACCATATTGCCTATGTAATTTTAACATATTATCGAACTATTATATTAACCTATGTAAAATATGTAATTTTACGTGTAGAAATATGTAACTCACGTCCAGTCATACCGAATGCAACTCGTGTGTATAAATATGTAACTCTATGTGTAAAAATATGTTACTTTACGTGTAAAAATATGTAACTCACGTTCAGACAGGTCAAATACAACTCCCGTGTATAAATATGTAACTCGCGTGTATAAATATGTAACTTTACGTGTAAAAATATGTAACTTTACGTGTAAAAATATGTAACTCGCGTTCAGGCAAGCCAAATGCAACTCGTGTGTATAAATATGTAACTTTACGTGTACAAATATGTAACTATACATATAAAAATATGTAACTCACATGTATAAATACATAATAAAATAAATTTTTTATATACACAATTTTAAGATAAATTGTGATTTACACAATAATTTTTCTGTATTAAATTTAGTTCGGTTTCCCTTAATAATCCAATAATCATTTATATAATAGTTCGATAATTTGTTAAAATTACATAAGCAATATTGGTCTCATTTGATAGATCATGAAAAATAACAAAATTTAATATAGAATTTATAAAAATCGGATATGAAATAAAAAAGTTATTACAATTTTTAACAACAAAAGGCATAAAAAATAAAGAAGTCAAAAATACCGTATACGCTGCTTGCCAAAAATAAAGACCGGTCATACGGTATAATTTGTGTCGTTATTGTTTTGTAAAGATTAATCTTGATAATCTCATATTCTCATAAATAGTGTGACTATATACTACTTCCGTCCCCGAAATAACTTCTCGGTTTGACTTACACACATATTAAGGAAATAAACTTACTAGGGGATAAATTTTACCGTTTTCACACTGCTTCGACACTGTTTGACACTATTTTGATGCAGATAACTTGCCATTTGAAAAAATTGGAAGTTAAATTAGAGACATCCAAATAAGGAAAGTGAGAATTTGTTTCAGGGGAGTATTAGAGTAAATAATTGTGATTATAACAATTGTAGAATCACGTGTTTTAATGTTATGACTGAACATGCAAAAAGTTTTCAAGAACTCTAAATTAATTATACAATATTGGTAATCATATTTATCGATAATTATATTTGTTTTCAATTGGGTCATGTGCATAATTAATTATAACCCAAAAATTGAATATACCATTCTAAATCAAATCTCGACATAAATTAAGCATAGGATGGCCAGTTCTAGTCTTCTAGATCGAAAAGAATAAGGCTCATGAACCAAATGTTTTATGAAAAGAAATTACATTACTTTGACTTAAGAGAATATATTCTTAATTTGGACATTGTATATATCACATAATTTTACATTGATGTTGATCTTTTCAAGAAATCAAAAAATTGGCTAGTTAAAGTTGAAGAGTGTATCAACCAAGGATAATTTTAATTAAATTAATTTTAATCTCAAATCGGACTAAACATAAATAGACAAGGTAGACTAGACTTTGATAGTTTTTTTTATAAAGGAAAACTACTTATATTAATATCATTAGGGTTCGGATCGTTACATCAAATTCAAAGACATCTATACTGACAACTACAATCTGTACCCAACTATCACTATCAATTCTACGGTTAGACATAGAAGCGACCACCCTTGAAAGAGCGATATGAATCGCTAACCACCAAACGAGTATGCAGCACTCACTGGCTATATCGATCCTTATAACAATATAATATCTAGCGGAATTGTCCCTCATTATTTTAGGCCTAAGACTAGAGAAATTAATAAAAAAAATAGAACATCGTAAATAAGCAAAACACAAAAAGAAACCCATAAAAAATAAAATAATTGATAAAACTCCAAACTCTTTTTGAAATCTTCATCTTCCACCAAATCGTGGCCTCTCTCGATCACTCCAAGACGGCGGTTCAGGAGGGGGACGAATCAATAACACTCCCTGCTCTTCCTTCATCACTTGCATTGGGAATTCTTCATACCACCACATCAATCTATCCATGGCTAGATGATATTTTCCCGCCGTCAAACAACCCCGAATTGCCACCCACTGAGTCGCCCCTTTCACCAAGCCCGTTCCCTCTGGATCAAAAACTGCCGGTGTCGCTTCCATCACACTCATCAATAAAATCAAAATTGACAAACCAAGCATAGGTAAATCAAATCTCAACAGTGATGCTAAATTGCCCAAACACCTGCTAATCCAACCAACCGCTCCCATGTTTGCAGCAATTTGTAAACAACCAGCAAATTGACTACACCAACTTACCTTCTTTGAATCGCAACAGCGGCAACTGGATCGCGCAGCCAGCAATTAAAGCAGGCACAATTGATTTCGGCAAGCACCCTCAGTTGGCAGCGACCCAATACTAGGCGATAAGCCACCCCCTGCAATAAACCTCTGCAGGCAAATACTCTGGTAACCTGTTCAAACTCACTGGCCGCTCGTCAAAGACGCTGCCGTTGATTAAAACCCTAGCGGTTTACGCTAGGTCCGTCCGCAAATGATGAAGAAGTGCAATACACAAATTATCAAATACTTTGATAGTTATAAACTAGACCTGACCTGGACAAACAATTCCTCCCTCCGTCCCTCAATACTTTGCCATGTTTGACCGGCACGAGAAATAATAAAGTAAAAACTGTGTGGTTGAGATATGTGTAGAGGAGAGAGAAATAACAGGAACCACAAATTCATTGATTAAAAGGGAAAGTGACAAATTGTTTGGGACATCCAAAAATGGAAAGATGACAAACTTTTACTCCGTAAGAGACAGAGGGAGTATCACATTAAGACCAGACATAAATGGATGGTCAAAATTAAAGTCCAATTACAAAATAATCCAGGTGCGTAATATAAATTACATAACCAAACACACACACATATGACGCAGGCTCATTCTTGTAAGGCGTTTGTGGATAAAATCCCACTTTCTAGTTGGTATTCAAGTCTACCTGATGGTATACATGAAGTCAATGAATAATACACACAAAAAGGTGCCAGATCGTGAGTATGTACATAAATGAATAAAATTTGCATTGTCGAACACCCTTTTTTAAGGGGTATTACAGTATTGCAATAGAAATGTAATACTCCCTCCTCGCTAAAAGTTTTTCCATAGTATAAATGACACACAAATTAAGAAAATGAGTATTGTGTGGTGGAGAGTCGTGCAACAGAGAGAAATGTGTAAGAATGTGTAAGAATTGCCGTGAACCGCAAATTCTTTGCCAAAAAGAGAAAATAAAGTTCTTTTTTGGATAGACGAAAAGAGAAAATTTGAAAGTTTTTTAGGAGCAATGAAATTACCTAATAAAAATTTCACTATTAGGAATGTGGCGTACTGGTTTGTAAACAGAATCACGGTCCTAGCGACGTGTCTTGTTGTGAGGGGCGATAGTAGGATTGTTTTACATCGAGTATACTTATATGAAATGACAAATTAACATTTTCGTCTAATGTTTGGCATTTGGTTCTTAATTTTGTGTGGAAAATAAAGTTCCTTTCTTGAAATATGTAGTGTATTATAAAGATTCAAGAAATTAGTACTCAACATAAGAGTAAAACATGAACAATATATTGTGCAAAAGTAAGAGTAAATGTGTATTATTTGTCTCACAATGTTACCCATTTAGGCTTTGTTTGGCAATCAGCTGTTAGCTGGTAATGACAGCTGGTTGATAATAGCTGGTTTTTTTAGCTGTTTTAGTTGGCTGATTATGTTAGCTTGTTGTCAGTAAATGTTTGGTAAATTAGCTGTTTAAGAATAACTGCTTCCTTGTAAAAAGACGTATACGGACATTAGTATTTAATCTAATTTCTATTTAAGCATTTCAAAAATTGTACGTTGTAATTTCTATTGCAAAGAAATTATATATAAAAAAGGATAGAGGTAAAAAAACAAAAAAAAAAGGATAAAGGTGAAAATTTAAATATGATCTAGAGATAATTTTAATTATCACTCACTTCAAGCTTGTGAAAAATGTTGACTGAAACGTTTACTTAATTTAGTAATTGTAAAAAGAAAAGATAAAAAAAAGTAACCTAAAAAAGTAATAGTATAAGAATATACTATCGTAAAACGGGTATATGCTAATGCTATTATGCTAATTAAGTCTACGTGCAGTGTTACCTAGTGCATTAGGCATTATAAGAGAACCGTACAATACTACGTATATAAGGAGCATTTAGTAAATATTAATAAATGATAGAACCAGCCAACATGAAACGCTGCAACCTTCAACGTTTCCAACCATCCAATTTTTTGGCTGCTTGGGATGAAGAAGCCAATTCAAGAAGTTGTTTACCAAACATGTTATTTAGCGGGTCAATTGGTCAAAGAAGCTAAACTCAGTCAAACCAGCCAAAAAATGGCTTATAAGCCATTTACCAAACATAGCCTTAATTAGTCCTGTAATTAGAACTGTCAAACGGGCCAACCCGACCCGACCCGTAACGGGTTATGCTTTATGTGGGTTGGGTCGGGCCAACCCGTTTAATGACAGGTCAGAATTTCTACAACCCTAACCCAACCCACCTAACCCATGGGTTAAACGGGTTGGCCCGCGGGCCAATGTAAAAAAAATATATAGCAAAAAAATCTTTAAAAATAATTACCTGAAAGTATATATTTGTATTAGTAAGTAGTAACAAAAAAAATATAAGAAATCAAAATACTAAAAATTCAATACTTGTAAAGTTTAATTGAAAAATATTAAATACTAGTTATACGAGAATTTGAAAACTATGAGAGGGTACACAACAAAAATAATCATTGTATAAAAATAAAGATCTACATAAACCTTTTGATTGATTATTTGTAAATAATGACTACTAATTGTTAAATATTGTATCGAACTTCACATAAAATATACTTTTCAACATTTTATTTGAATATTTATTATAGAAATAAATATTGTTTTGACATGGTTGTAATTTTTTAATTGTAATTATAATAACATTGGTAGTAAAAGAACAATATTCAAGATAATAAAATTCAAAACTATATTTTTGTATTTTGGCCCGCGGGCCAACCCGTAACCCGGTGGGCCAACCCACTTAAACCCGCAACCCGCGTGGGTTGACCCGCGAAACCTGCGAACTAAATGGGTCATAAATTCTCAACCCTAACCCACCAATAAATGGGTTTAAACGGCCCAGCCCGTGAGTTTCGGTCCATTTTGACGGCTCTACCTATAATCAAAAGAATAAAACAATAAAAATATCCCTAATTAAGATTACATAAGTCCTAGTATGGAGGAAATACACCTTTCTTTTGCATATATGTCATGTTTTACTTCTAAATAAAAGTTTGGGCGGCACAACTCTTACTCAAAAGTCCAACTCTAAATCACCGCAAGAAGGAAAGGCGGAATCACACAAGAACCGATTGCACAATCGAATGAAGGATGCTTTGATAAATGCTATTATATCTTAGTTACTTTTATTGAAAAAGATACATTCAAAAATCAAAAGGGTTAACCACGAAAAAATTGCACAACATTTTAAACATATGAAAACGCTTTGCCTGTAGTTGCAATTAGGACTTTAATTTTATATATGACCATTTTTCCTCTTTTGCTTTATAGAGGTACGAGGAATGAAATCTGTTTGAGAGATTTGCGTAATAAACTTTTTGATAATATTGTGAACATATTCCTCATAAAGTGTAGAACATCTCCACAAATTGTTATCTAAAACTTCGACTAGTAAGTCAGTTAAATAAATTATTGAAAAATATGGCGCTTTATTTATATACATAAAGCACCATGTTCTTCAATAATTTATGCGACTGGTTTAGCACCATGTTCTTCACTTTAAGTTTTCAATAAAATTTGTCGTAATGTTCTACACTTCATGAAGAACAAGCTCAAGAACTTCCATAACAAGACCCGAAAGACCTTCCAACAGGCTTGTCTGGACAACAGATCCCGTTAATCCGTAAAAATTGGAATAGTTTTGATTATTTGAAACTAAAGAAAAAATTAATCGTTTAATATTAAAGTGACGTGCATGTCTCTCCCCAGTCCCCACCACCTATGGAGATAGTGTAGGGTTGGAGATTAGTTAAGTAATTTTTCTATCTGAAATTAAAATTATTTGTAAATTATTTTTCTAGGGAACTACATAGTGTTATCTAGAGATGACAATTTTGGCCGACCCGTTGGATACCTGCACCGAACCGATTTGGTCAAACTGGGGAAAACCGGTTTGACTGGGGAATGGGTACGGGGCGGGGAATACCCGAATTTTTTAAATCGTTAATGGTGCGGTTATGGTTCTATACTAATTTTCCCCGTTATCCGCCCCGAAATCGCCCCCGTTCACTAATGGTGCGGGTACCCGCACCGTTACCCGATCCGTAACATTATTAATGAATCATAACTTTTTATATATAAGAATAATAAGTATAAATGCTAAATTGTGGATACTAAATAGTATGTACGGAGTATCATATAAACAATGCTAAAAAGTATACTATGAGTACATTTTTTGGCCTAAAACTAAATATAGGCCTAAACCTGATTTTGGAATTTGGATTCTGGGATGATTACTATTTTTTTTATTATGTTACAACAGATATTAGGTGCATGTCATACTAATTAATTTAGGCCAGTCTGCTTGATTGCTTAAATATTTACTTTTGTATGTTTTAGGGTGCTTTGAACATATAAATAACAAGTAGGATTAGAAATGGTTTTTTTTTTTCAAAAAAATTGGTTATTTGGTATCATTTGGAGAAACGGTTACCCGTGGATAAACCGATTCCCCGTTGGGGCGAGCATAATTCAAATAAAAATTACCCGAACGGGTAATGGGGCAGTTTTGGGGCAAACATTTATCTAACGGGGCGGTTTCAGTTTTATGTGTACCCATTTCCGATCTGCCCGTTTGCCAACATGTTATCCTTCTACGCATTTTCTTTCCTCCTAAACATTTTCCATATCAAATTATTTTAATCGAAACAAAGGGAGCCTAAATAGGAAATAGAGAAAATGTGGGTACAATATGAACTACATCTTATAAGTAATGGAAAACAGATCCATGGCAGAGTTAGAAAATGCATCTCTGATGAATCAAATTTTCAATGAAAAACCAGAATAGAGAACAAAACAAGCTATAAAAATGTTCATTTGGCAGAGGCTTCATCTGCAGGATTGAGCTGATCCCAAGCTTCAATCCAGGTGACCATGGCATCAGCAAGCTTCACGAAGTATTCGTCTAGCTTACCGAGCTTCTCCTTCACCTGCTTGGACAGTTCAACATAGCATTTCTGGACAGTTGTGGCATCTTTGGAGAGTGTGGCATTCTGGAAGAAGGGGATGATCTCTTCTTGCCAGAATATCCCTTTGTACTCTTTCTTCAGGTTCACAAAGGGGTTGCTTGCTTTGCTGTGGTATATGTATGGAAGCCCAGTCTTGATTCCCAATCCCAAATGATCACATATCACCTGTTCACTCAAACAAGCGTATATGTGATGAACTTCGAAGTCTTAATATGATATCAAAGTCAGTTAAACTTACACGAGAAAAGAAAGAAAACATTACCTTACAACACCAACCAGCCCACATATCATCGTAGCGACCAATAGGTTGGCCATCACCCATGAGCCCAAAGTACATGGCCGGGCCAATGAGATCGCGATCGAATGCTAGATTCATCCCACACATCGGGAACAATGTGCCTTTTGGGATTGTTAAGACAACATCAGCATACCTAGACATGAATGTATTACATCAAACACATTATAACATCAATTTTTTGTACACTAATGTTAAATTTGACATTACAACACCCATGATTTTTTTTCACGGTGGCTATAGGTATCGTGAAAATTTGACACTCATGTTTATTATGACTAAGGTACCATGAAAATTTGACACTCATGTCAATTACGATTTAGCTGAATGAGCTCAACATGATGAGGATGTATCATTATTCAATTATGTACTGACTGACCTAGTGTTTCTCTCAAGAGGTTTGACCAACTGAGTTGGTGCATCATAATCAGGAATATTCAGCCAGAGGCCGTGTGAAACCGCAGTGGGAACGCCTTCGCGGAGGCTGAAAGGGTAACCACGGACAAAATCTGTGCCCTCTCTGAAAGGATCATAGAGAGTGTTGAAGAAATAGGGAGTTGATGGGCAGAGAAGGTTCTTGATGTGCTGTTCTAGAGCATTGATGTCTTGCCCCGAAGGGTCTTTCGCAACCTACACGCCCAAATCATAATCAATGAATAAAATATAAACCAACATATAAAGCATTGAACCAGCTATGTGATCGTCTTACGAAGCAGTCATCATCAATGGTGTAGATGTACTTCTTCTTAGAGACCATGTAGCCGAAGCAACGGCAAGCGGAGTCCTTAAAGGAGATGCAAGAGGCCCTCGGGCCCAAAATCTTGTTAATGTCATTGCGGTTGTAGAGCTCGTAGTCGAAACCGGGAGGGACCATTATTGTCCTTGAAGGGTCGCCGTCTTGGACGATGATGAGGTGGTAGGGCTGAAAGAAGGGCCTCCACATCTCCAAGAAGTCAAGGTTCCTTATGGTCGGGATCACGATGTCCAATTCATCTTTCAAGGGAGGGGATGTTGTCGTGGCCATGGCCAAAGTTTATGTTTTTTATGTTTCTTTATTTTAAAATGGATGTGCATATATGGAAGAAGACAAATGTGTGTTTGGCTTATATATATGACTGTGGGTATGGGATACTGATGTTAAGGTTCTGCAGCCTAATTGGATGGCTAGAAACTTGTTCAAACCAAGCACATTTCCGCTATTGTTGGGAGGCCTTTAGTTGCTATGTTACACACATGTTTTTTATTCTTTTCCGTCTGTTTCTGCCTATGCTTGGATAATCCTTTTTCAAATTTCTAGAAATATATGAACCTTTTATTTTCCAATGGTTATGAGTGCTCTGGATCATGTGATTCAGGTTTCAAATCTTTCAATGCATTACATCATTATTAAAAGAAAGACATGTTTATATTACCTCTGTTCTTTAATAAATGCAACATATGAAAATTTACACTATTCACATGATCTACTTTGACTACATTTTATTTATTATTGTATTAATATTTTTTTATGAAAATAATATTGTTAAATTTGTCTCATTGTAAATTTTCAAAATCTATTTTTTTTTTTTTTACAAATACAAAATTATATATATTAATGGTCAAAGTTGTGTCTCGACAAATATAAAATGTTGACCTTTACATTTATTTAAGAACGGATTAAATACATTTGTATATTTAGAATATCGACACAAAAACAAAAGTTAGTTCTACTTTTAGTGCCATCAATAAGAAGTTTAGGACTTTCTTTTTTCCACTCTTGGTTTCACAACATTACACCTTTTGCCATGGAGGCTTATTATGACCACTAATTCAGTCAACTTTCTTATAACTTTTTGTTTATCTTAGCAGTGATAAGACCAAATATAAATTGAATTCACTCTGAAGGACAAAATATGCCATGCATCTTGCTACTTTATCAGGTAAACACATTTGTGGTTTATTATTGGACGTGCCCAGCAGGATTTTTAGGAATCATCAATGGTGTTAAAGTTACATTATATATTTACACCGTCATTATTTTAATCATTAATACGTCATTATTTCTATATTTAATCCGTGACCGAATTCATTTTTATTTTATTTCGAATACATAACCAATATGCGGAGTATAATCTTTACATATATAAATGGACAAACGGTTTCCTGGATATTGTTGGCCACATCACATCGAAAATGCTCCACTGCAGGATATTTGGAGATAACAAGCTAAGGCTACGACAATAACTCGCAATAACGCGATCAACTAATAATTGAAAAAATGAGAACTGTATTTTTTCCATTTAGCTAGGAGCCTAGGACCTTCCTAAATGTATAATTCAAAAAAACAAATGTTATTCTAGAACTGATGAGTTTTTAATAAGTGTTTTGTTAGGGAGAAACAATATTGGAAACAACTTTATTAGGCAATAGTAAAAAAGGACCCATAAGCTAAAGTTAAAAACATAAATGCAAGAATAAAAGTTATGAAACACAACGAATTATAAGTGATACATTTTTAGATATAGAAAATGCTCTATTATGCACAAAGTAATCCACATTTTGTATGGAGAACATCTTATTGAATACAACGTCACCGCATTTTGCTATAAAAATTCCACTCTTCCCTTCCTTCAGTAGATCAACAACCAAGCTTAATTCTTACTTTTCTCTTAAATAACACTCTATCAACTAGCCCCAGCCCACAGCTATGAATGCCATAGTGGTTGCTAACAAGTGTCAACTGTCAAGTATCATACTCGACTCTTCGTCTCATAATTCAGAAGGAAGTTCAATGTTAAAGAGGAACACATTGCTCAATATCGAGAACCGGCTCATGAGAGATGACCACTTCAATTTTAGTACATACATTCTTTCTCAGAGCATCTCATTGATAAAACTGTTAAAAAAAGGTAGAGTTATTTGGCGTTTTACGAGAAGAAATGCACAGGCAGACCTGTTACTTTGGGGTTACCAGAACACATTCAAGATCACACATGAACTAGCAACCACCCATGTATTGACTTGAAGCAAGCATATCAAGATTGACTTGAAAATGTCACAAATAGTGATTTCTTTGTCCCATGTGTAACTAGACTACTCTAATTTGCAGCTATTTCTATTTCTACTAAAAATTCATGTTCGTTAAGTTTTTTCTTCTCCTGCATAGTAGTGTCTGGCATAAGTAGTGTCCAAATACTTTTTAGAGTATTTGGCACAAGTAGTGTTCAAATACTTTTTCGAGTAAAGCCTTCTTACGGAGTTACTTTTCATACAAGTCCTCTAATAACTCTGGAGATAACTCGTGAGAAATGTTACATGACCGGTGCAACAAAACAAAAAGGACAAGACAATATAGAGAAATAATACCGATAAGAGAATAGGAAAGTACAAATGGCTATTACCAATGAACAGGTAACAATTACTCAATTATATTGTTTCTTGTTAAAGAGGGTCCTCATTGTAACTTTTGAACTCAAAGGGTGGAAAAGCCCACCCCTGTATCCCTACACTTAGTTCAGACAGAGTGGTGTACAATTAGATTACGGTACGGTACGATGCCACACATATAATGAGAGGGGCAGCCTAGTATCTGACATTCACAGGAAACCATTACATTGGTTGAAACTATCACTGCCACTGCCAAGATTCGAACCCAATTCCATTGCTCAACAACCTCCCTGATCACATGGTGAGCTACCCATGTGGACTTTAAAGAACATGAACTTTAAACATATCACGGAGCAGCTAAAGAAACAGAAACATATTGAAGCAACACTAAATAAATTGCAAAACCAAAACTGAAATGTCATATGTTGATCCCAACAATCTCCCGGAAACAACAAAAGCTGTGATACTGAACACCTTTGCAAAATTTCGTTAGAACCTTGTATACCTACAAAAAATTCAATATTGAAGAGGGAAAGTCCGCAAAGTTACTATATTGAAGCTCAATTTTATAAAAGTGAACAATTTATATTTGGACAAAAGTGACTCGCAAGATAACAAAGTTGGAAAACTATATGTTTACTGTCAATTTTTATGCCACCGCCACAACACCATCCATGACACTACACGTGACAAGTTGATGCTGTCTTACATGTCACTATGACTGCAATAGTCAATTCAATGAATTCTAATGAAGAACTTGTCTAACTATATTTTGACCAACTTTTTCTTGAAATTTTCTGAAAAAATTCCCAACATTTATTTAGAAAATCTTCAAAGTGCTTCCCATCGGTGGTGAGGGGGAGTAGGGTGGTGTTGGAGGGAGAATAAATTTAGAGTTTTGAAGTTATTTAGTCACTTTTTTGAAAGGAAAAAAAATCATACTTTTGTGAATCACAAACTCTAGAATTCATACTTGTGCCATTCTTTATATTTTATGTGATACTGGATTTTGTCAATTATATAAGTTTGTAGTATCAGCTCTATGCTTGACAGGGAAGGAAGCTGATTCATCATAACATTACCCAATTGTTAACAGCATCAAATGATTGAGATTACATATTAGATGAACCTGACAAGGGAAAATGAAAGACTGTAGCTTACCTTAACGCCTTTGTGTTTTTTCCATTAGAACGTTTGCCAGAAAAAAAGTGCTTCGGTTTTAGATTTGGAATAGTTCTATCACCTTCACCCTTGCAGGCTGCCTTGTTCCTAACCTTGGAAGAGTTCTTAGCCAAATCAATAGCCTTTGACTTTTGTGCAGAATCTTTGAATCCTTCACCAGGCACCAATTCGTTTGGAAGCCTTGACTTTGACCTTGACCTGGATCTAGACAGCATGACATCATCTTTCCAAGAATCGTCAGCCAAGATATAGTGCTTACTCAATTTAGCAGAGTAGACACCCGCACCTCCGTTCTCATTCTCAAACTTCTTCTTCTCTTTCTCTGCAGCTTCCTCTGCTTTCTTTGCTCTAGCTTCCAGCACTGCCTGAGGTATACACACCGGCCTTTCTTTCTGGTCACGCGGTTTTGGCATGGCAACGTGAAAACGATTCAAGCAGTCATTTAGTTTCTTTGATTTCATCTTGACTTCAACTCTTTGGTTCAACAGCCTCTCACAAGCAGCATTCTTCACAGAAATCACACCTTCTTCAGTCAAAGCACTCATAGTAGAAGTACACCTTGATCGTCCATGGCTTCTCCGCCTTGTCCAATCACAGTCTTCATAGCTTCTTCTTTAATCTCCATGACCAACTTCCGGTCTTCCTCTGATATCCCTTCCAGAGGCTGCAAATCAGTTTTGTTGCAAACTATGACCAAGGGTTTGTTCATAAAGAGAGACTTTATACTGTGGAACAAAGCAGCTTGCTGCGCAATACTGTAACCACAAGACCCGGATATGTCTAGGAAAAATAAAACGGCGGCTCTGAGATGGGCTAAAGCTGTAATACTGCACATCTCAATGATATTACGGTCCTCAAACGGTCTGTCCAATATTCCTGGAGTGTCAATGACTTGATACCTAAGGTATTTGTAGTCAGTGTGACCAACAAACAAGGACTTTGTGGTGAAAGCATAGGGTTGCACATCAACATCGGCTCTTGTAATTTTGTTTATGAAAGAGCTCTTACCGACATTAGGGTACCCACAAATCAAGAGTGTCCTAGTGTTCGGATCGATTGAAGGTAACCTGGCCATGTGCTGTCTGATTTGCTCAAGATAAGCCAGACTGGGTGTGATTCGCTTTATCACAGTACACATTCGTCCCAGGGCAGCAACTTTCAATGACTTGCAACGATATAGTGAATCACCATACTTCAACATTTTCACATAATCCTTCGCTATCTTGGAAATCAGGTTCCTTGCTGTGTTTATTTGTCCAAGTGCAAGCTTGTAATGATCTTTGTTATAGAGGACGTGGAGAAGGTCACCGTAGAAAGAATGGATATCATCAAGCCTGGGGAAACTCCTCAATAATGGTGGAAAGTTTGTCATGGAAGTTCGATTGTGTATATTTCACTTTGCGCATGTAAAACTGACGGATACGAGATATTGCATAGCCCTTGTGCACAACAGTTGGTGTCTGCCTCTGTGTACGAGACAGGATGATGTCAACAAAATCCTTCCCATTGGGGACAATGGTAATCTTTTTGAAATTATACTGCACCATCTTTTATCCCCTGCATCAGAACAACCGAAAAGGTAAGCAACTCAAAAATCACATCGAAACATTAAAGTTAAATAGAATAGAAAAATTTTCAAAACCTACTTATTCAGTATAAAAATAATAGAATGGTGATTACTCAATTCAGGAATGAACAAAAATGAAACTTTCAGTCCTAGTAATCTTTACTATATACAAGAAGAAATTTGACCTATTTTCCCATGCCAAAAAGGCGGGTGAAAAATCAGGTTAATCGGGTTTACTAACATAGCTGTCAACAAGTACATATGCTGCATTGGAATTCATACCATGGCCTCCAGTAAATCACTTGGTTGGGTAACGTGCATCCCCTTTGATGGCAAAACAACTCGATCTTGGTTTCTTGTCAAATGTAATCATTTCATTTTTAACATCACATTCAAATGTAATACGGAGTAAGAATCAGAGAAAACAACTGCTAGTAAGAACAGTTTCTCTTCTCAGGTACTACAAAAGCTGCAGGAGTCAATTGGCCAAATGACTGCCTCTTGTTCGGGTGTAACATTTTCAATTTAGATACATCAACAGATACAATTAAAAGGAAACACCACCAGTTCTTAGGTTTCTTGGTTTTTCATTATAAGCTAAAGGGGGGAGGGGAATAAATCCCGCTAGCTCTTAGTGTCATGCGCTCATCAGAATCTAGAATTATTGCATTCAAATATATTCATTTCAGTCCTGAAAAGCATCCATATATACAGTAGTGCTTGGGTGTGCCACTTTACCCATAAGAATTTTTTTTTGTTTTTGTTTTTGTGAGTTTGACTCTTTAGTTGGAGCAATTCTCTACACATACCTGTGTAATCAATAGCCAATAGCTTACGGAGAAAAGTTTAAAACCGCTATAGAAATATAGTGATAGTGTTTAGGTAAATAGAGGAAGCATGGCTGATTAGGTTAAATAACTTATATATATCGTTAAAGTTAATATATCATACTAAATGTAAGTAGTATAGTACTACGTAAAGTCGTAAATAGGTTCTACAGACACTAAAACAGTTAGAAACATAGAATCATAGCAAAAAAACTAGCAAGCCACCCAAATTCCAAGATTTTTAAATGGAAATCTTAATAAACTAAATAATAAGACAAATCAGTTGCCATGTAATATGAACGGAAAATAACAATTAACGGTAACCACCGTTGACAAAACTCAAGAGCTTAACACACACAAATTCTTATTCATAAAACATAGTTTGAAAGCCCCTTTAGGAGGTATAAATAGACAACTTATCCTTGGATAAAGGAAACTCCTAAATTATTGATATTAGGAAATAAACTGAAAATAATTTAGGAAACTCCTAAATTATTGATATTAGGAAATAAACTGAAACTAGGAAACTAATTAAAAGCCAATACTAATTAAATAAGAATTAAGCTAAATAACTCTTCATCCAGCCTGGCCCACGGATGTGGGCTTCTCCCGACCCCGCCTGCGATAAACAATCAAGGGCCTGCGGCCCTCTGCTTCTTCGTCTTCGGTCGCACGCGTCTGCTCCGTATCAAATGCATCCTCCTTTGGAAGAACCTTGTCCTCAAGGTTGAAATCAGGAAATTGACTCAAGAAGCTTGTTTTATTCATCCAAGTTGCCTCGTCCGTAGACTGTCCAGCCCATTTAACCAACAATTCCTCTTTTTTGTCATTCTTCTTCCTTGTAGCTAATATTTCCTCAGGCTCGAACACTGGACTCACAGGTAATTCCAAGCTTTCCGGTAGCTCACTCTCCACCGGGTGATCGCCAATTACCTTTCTCAGCTGAGATGTATGGAAAACCGGGTGAATACGGCTAGTGGCAGGTAGTGCCAGGCGATAGGCTGCCTCCCCAATTCGCTTTTCAACCTTAAATGGCCCATAGAATTTTGCTGACAGTTTGTTATATGGTTGGCGAAATAGAGTTGTTTGTCGATGAGGCCTTACCTTTAAAAACACCTTTTCTCCAGCCTGAAAAACCACATTGCGACGGTGTTTGTTTGCCTGTGTCGCCATGCTTTGTTGAGCCTTTTGTAGGTTCTCCTTTAGCCGCCTTAGCATAACATCTCTGCTGCCGAGAACCTCTGCCACGGCTGCCACACTGCTTTCTCCCGGCAAAAATCTTCGAATAGATGGGGGTGGCCGTCCGTACACTACCTCGAATGGGGTAACTCTGGCTGCAGTCTGAAAAGCGGTATTATACCAATACTCTGCCCAACTAATCCAGCGTATCCATTGCCTCGGCTGCTCACTTGTGAAACAACGAAGGTAAGTCTCTAATACGCGATTCAACACCTCCGTTTGTCCATCCGTTTCTGGGTGATAAGCCGAGCTAAATTTCAGTTGAGTGCCGGACAACTCAAACAATTCCTTCCAAAATGTGCTAATAAATAGTGAGTCCCGGTCGCTAACAATTGAGCGTGGGATGCCGTGCAACCTAACCACCTCTTTAGAAAAAACTTCCGCAACCGAACAGGCTGTGACGGGACCTTTTAAGGGAATAAAATGTCCGTATTTTGACAGTCGATCTACCACCACTAAAATAGACGTATACCCCTTTGATTTAGGCAGACAAGTGATAAAATCCATGGAAATATCTTCCCAAATTAAGTTGGGAATTGGTAAAGGCTGCAATAATCCCGCGGGTGATAAAGTCTCGTATTTGGCTTTTTGACAAACCAAACATTGTGCCACGTAATCTCGTACTCGTCGAAACATTCCCTTCCAATATACATTCATGGCGAGTCTTCTGTACGTACGATAGGCCCCTGCATGTCCTCCGGTTGGCGTGGCATGAAATTCTTCCAGTAATTGTGGTATCCAACTTGAATTAGTTGGCAGGACCAGTCGGCCCTTGAAAAATAGCCGCCGTCCTGTTACTTCATATCCTGGCGCTTTTGCCGGGTCAACAGCCAGTGCCTCCACAATTTCTTGCAAGACCTTATCCCTCCGCTGCTCTTCCTCTACATCGGCCAGACCCATCCATTCTGGAATGCTTACTGCCGCCAATTCTACTTCCTTTCCTCTTCTAGACAGAGCATCGGCAGCTGCGTTGGAGATGCCAGTCTTGTATTCAATCTCAAAGTCGTAACCCAATAATTTTGCTACCCACACTTGCTGGGAAGGAGTTGCTATGCGTTGAGTGAGCAGGTGTTTGAGACTCCTATGGTCGGTGCGCACGATGAATTTCCGACCAATTAAATATGGCCGCCAATGTTGCACGGCCAGAGCTAATCCCATCATCTCTCTTTCGTAGGCGGATTTGGATAAAGTTCTGTCAGATAATATTTTGCTATAATACGCAATGGGCCTTCGTTCTTGCATAAGAACCGCTCCAATTCCCGTTCCGGATGCGTCACATTCTACCACAAACAGTCGGTCAAATTGTGGCATGGCTAACACGGGTGCTTCCGTTAATGCCTTCTTGAGTTGCCGGAAGGCCTCCTCGGCCTCTTCTGTCCATCGGAAACAAGTTAAGGCTTCCTTTTTTAAAAGCCCTGTAAGCGGTCGTGCGATCTGTCCATATCCTTTAACGAACCTTCGGTAGTACCCTGTTAGCCCCAGAAATCCTCGAACCTCCCGGGCTGTCTTCGGCCGAGGCCATGATATCACTGCATTGACTTTGGCCGGATCCATAGCTACTCCTTCCTGCGAGATTATGTGCCCTAGATATTCCACCTGAGGCTGGCCGAAAGTGCACTTCTTTCTATTAGCTTTGAACTGATTTATTTTTAGAATGCTCAGAACCTGACTCAATTGTTCTCGGTGCTCGGCCCATGAACTGCTGTATACCAAGATGTCGTCAAAAAACACCAATACGAATTTTCGTAAGTATGGCCGAAATAAATCATTCATGACTGCTTGAAAAGTGGCCGGTGCGTTAGTCAATCCGAACGGCATTACTAAAAATTCATAATGCCCACTGTGAGTACGAAAAGCGGTCTTGTGGATGTCCGGATCAGCCACCCTGATCTGATGATACCCGGAACGTAAGTCAATCTTTGAAAAGACCATAGCGCCGGCCAACTCGTCTAACATCTCCTGTATTACCGGAATAGGGTACTTGTCTGGCACTGTTGATTTATTCAACTCCCGGTAGTCTACGCAGAAACGCCAGCTGCCATCTTTCTTTTTGACCAACAAAACCGGACTGGAAAAGGGACTGGAACTGGGCTGAATAATACCGGCCTGAAGCATCTCGTTGACTAATCTCTCAATTTCATCCTTTTGTAAATGACCGTACCGGTATGGCCGAACTGAAACTGGTTTTGCCCCAGGTTCCAACTCGATACGGTGATCCCTAGTTCGGCGTGGTGGCAGCCCCTGCACTTCTACAAAAACCTCCGTATGCTGACTGAGGATATCATCTAGTGAATCCGTTGTTGCTTCCTTCCCTTTACTAGCTTCCCTGATGACGACAATTGCCCTGAACTCTCCGTCTGCTGTCTTAAGTAAAGACCGTAAACTAACTGCATTTTTGCACATCGCGGGATCTCCCTTTAACTCAACCTTCTTGCCGTTAAGTTTGAACTGCATGGTTAACTCTTTCCAATTTGTCTGCACCTCCCCCAAAGTTGCTAACCAAGCAACTCTTAGTATGAGATCCACTCCTGCCAACGGGAAGACAAAACAATCAGCCTTGATAGCACATCCCGGTAAGTTAATGGAAAGTTGACGGCATACTCCTTCAGATTCCTGTCTATGCCCATCCCCTAATTGCACTCCAAACCTGCCAGTCTTGTCTTGTTTTAGTCGTAATAGAGATACCAAGGAAGAAGATACAAAATTATGACTGGCACCGCTGTCAATCAAGACTGTGGCCGTGCACCCCCCAATCATCCCGCGGAGCCTCATAGTCTGAGGGCTGAAAATTCCGGCCATGGCATAGACTGGAAAATCTCCCTCTTGTCCCTCGAGAGGGTCGTCGTCTCGCGGAAATTCCTCCTGCCCCGTTATGTCGCAATAATCATATTGCTGTAAGTCCAACTCTTCGTCGTCGTCTGCTAGCATCACCCTTAACTGTTTTAATGGACATTCGTGTCCCGGTGAGTAGGGTTTCCGACATTTGAAACACAGTCCTCTGGCGCGTAAATCATCGTAAACCCTTGGGGGTATTCGAGTAAACCTGGAGCGTTCCGTGGCCTGCCCCGATGTTCCGGACGTGGTCCCGGTTACTGGTGGTGTGGTCCCCACTATTGGCCCAGTTGTTTTCGGCAAGCTGCCCCCCTGGACACGCGAACTGCCGTTACTCGTAGTTGAAAGCATACCCGGGTTTGGACGTGGATAGCTGTTTATTCGAGACCCGGTTGAGTTAAAATTTGGTCCGCCTCTCCCTCCATTCTGAATGGCCAGATTGTGCTCGACATCCCCGGCCAACTCCATTGCCGTTTCCAGGCTCTCAGGTCGTAATAAACGTAGCTCGCTTCGGATTGCTTCCTTGAGACCACTCATGTAATAACCCAAATAGTGATCATCAGACAATCCCGAAACTTGGCTTGCTAATTGAACAAAAAGAACATTGTATTCCTGAACGGACCCTGTTTGTTTAGCTCCGGATAAACGTTCGAATTTATTCCCTTTATACCGGGAATCAAACCTGGTTACCAAGGCTTGTTTAAAATCCTCCCAGCCCATACTCAGCTTACGTGATTTGAGCCATGTTGCCCAGTAGAGCGCTCCTCCTTCCATAGCTACCATTGCGGCAGCCACTTTCTTTCCCGGGGGAGAGTTGTGTAATTCGAACTGCTGTTCTGCCCGTGCTAACCACCCGATGGGATCCCCCCCATCGAATGACGGAAGTAATGTTAGCGTTGGATTGCCCAGCCCGTTATCGCCCTGCTGCGTGGTTACCACGATGCCACCTCCACCACCGGCGGTTGTCTTCGGCACTATCGGCGGTACTAGTGCCTGGGTCAACGCCGCCAGTGAGGCGGCAATCTCCTCCAGTTTTGTACCATGATTATTGAGTGTCTGGTTTATGGCCACCAGTTGCGTGCCATGGTCTTCGAGGGTTTGGTTTGTTCGGGTTTGTTCGGCCCCCAGTCGGGTTACTTCTTCGCCCGTGCGACTTTGTTCGTTCTCCAATTCTTGCAAACGTTCACTTTGAGATCTTGTCATTGTGGCGGGACGGGATCCGGCAGGTCGGACCAATTAATATGAACGGAAAATAACAATTAACGGTAACCACCGTTGACAAAACTCAAGAGCTTAACACACACAAATTCTTATTCATAAAACATAGTTTGAAAGCCCCTTTAGGAGGTATAAATAGACAACTTATCCTTGGATAAAGGAAACTCCTAAATTATTGATATTAGGAAATAAACTGAAAATAATTTAGGAAACTCCTAAATTATTGATATTAGGAAATAAACTGAAACTAGGAAACTAATTAAAAGCCAATACTAATTAAATAAGAATTAAGCTAAATAACTCTTCATCCAGCCTGGCCCACGGATGTGGGCTTCTCCCGACCCCGCCTGCGATAAACAATCAAGGGCCTGCGGCCCTCTGCTTCTTCGTCTTCGGTCGCACGCGTCTGCTCCGTATCACCATGTTTCAATAAAAGGGTAGGTGAGTTTAGAAGCTAGATATTAAAGGTTTTTAAAGTAACAGGCACCAATATTTTGCTACCAATATTTTGCTATAGAACTGGCTGAACTGCCAATGAGAAAAAATAGGGGTGGGAAAAACCGAACCGAAACTCAGAAACCGACCCTGGACCGACCCGAATTATGATCCCGGACCGGGTTTTTTCTTTTTAACCAGCCCGAATTAAAAAAAAGCGGACCGAACCCAAAATTTCGGGCTCATTAACAGGCTTTAAAATCTATAACCCGGTCCGGGCCGATAAAAATCCGAAACAACTAGCTTTAATATAAAACTAATATAATATATGAATATAAATTTATAAATATTTCCTAATATATGATTATAATCACGGTGGATAAAAAATGATTTAGGAATTTTTAGTGACTACAAATATGTTGAATTTGTTTAGCGTAATAAGCATGAAAATATATTTATAGCAACTCTAGTCACATTTTTATCTATAAGTTTTATTTCGTAATATTTTTAAGAAATTTTATTTGTGCTATTATTTGCAGTTTGTATTTTTGATTAATTTTGTTTGAAAATAGGTGTTAAAATATAAAAGAACAATGAGATATTTCATGTTCGGGCTTTAACAGGCCCAACCCGAACCCGGACCGAACCTGGGCTACCAAAAACCTGACTCGGACCAAATATAATGGACTTTGTTCCGGTTCCTAATTTTCATAAACCGAAACCTTCCGGAGTTCAGGGTAATTTCTGGGTTTAGCTAAAACCTGACACAGACCGGACCCATCCCACCCCTACGAAAAAATACTAAACCTACTCAACATAGAACCATAGAATTAGCATCCAAAATAATAATAAAAAAAATATGTTAACAAATGGTGAGCAGTTGCAATAGAAAAGAATAACAAAAAAAGCCAAGTAGGAACAAGAGTTCAGAATAGCATTGAAATAATAGAAGAAAAACGTTTTTATATTAAAAACAGAGGCATGCTTACGGAGAGAGGTGAAAGAATGTTGTTGGAATCTTATTGGAGGTCCGAAGATCTAAGTTCAGGTCCCGTTAGAAGAAGCAGAGTGGATGCCAGATCGTTAGAGACGAGGCGTACAACGATCGCCGGATGCCGCCACCGAAGGGTTGTGTTTTTTTAAGTTTTTGATTGAGTCATGATTAATAAAGAAAAACCAACCAAAATACTCCATATAAAAGGTCAATTACTTCCTTGTAATTTTAAAACGTTCAATTAAATCTCAAATTCTTAAAGGTCATTTTCCAAAAATATTAGGATTTTTTATAAGAAAATTAATAAAATAAAACTTATTTACGTAAATATGACTATTTAATATTTAACATAGTGTTGTGGTAACTTAAATTCAAAACTTAACCTGAATTACTATGATTTCATTATTACTCTAGTAACTAGCCATATTTTTGTAAATCATCTTTATTTTGATCATATTTTATGTAATTATTTCTAAGCAGTAACTTTCTAACATCAAATTTCACTCACAATTTGACATTATCGTATTTTAGTTAATTATGACATTATAATGTCATTGTGTTTTTCAAGCATAGCAATAAGAATATTTTAAATTAGACTTAAATTTATGATTGACTTTGAAATGGTATGTTAGATGTCTGTTTTATACGGAGTATATGTTTGCAATTGTACTTTTAAATTTTGCTAGTTGTGATCTATATTAGTTTGGTATAGGATTAGAATCAGTCCAATTAAAAAATCAGAATTAATATTTTTAGAAAGTATTCATATTTTAAAATTTCAAAACATTTTTACTCATGCGCCATAGGAGGGTGGATATTCTTGTGCTCTGCAAGTTCTGTGATGTTGAAGAAGAATCTGAGGACCATTTGTTCCAGAAATGTCCAATGGCTATTTATGTTTGGAGGCAGATGGGGGTAAAAAAATTAGACAGGGCACCACGTTTGGGGAACGGATTAAAAGCTTCTTTGAAAATTTGCAGCACAAGGAACTTTGTCATTTTATTTGTTGTTTATGGAGTATTTGGAAGGCAATGGATGAAAAGGTTTGGAAGAATAAGGAAGTCAGGTGACGACAAAAAGTGGAAGTGGGGACATCTATGCTTGTGAGAATGTGAAGATCGCTCCGTTTCTAAAGGATTTCAAGAATGCCATGTATTCAATTTTTACGCGGGAGAGATTTGAGGAATTTTGGAAAGATATGATTGTGCGACATGTAGGGGAGAGCAAACCCGACCCTACCCGATTCACCCGATCGGATATATCCGATTTTATTTTTTGGGTCGGATAACCCGACCCGAATGACCCAAACCCGATCCGATTTTTGCAACCCGAGAGTTAAGCGGGTAGCGGGTAGGGTTACCAATTATGCTACCCGACCCGCCCGAAAACCCGAACTAGGGTAGTATATATACTACTTTGAATTATTATGCATGTTCAAATATTTCAATTATTGTATGTCAATTACCATATTATTCATATTCAAATATTCCAATTGCCGACATCAGGGGCGGACCCAGGAAATTGACATTGGGGGGGCGATAATTTATCAAAAAAACTAGGCGATTATTATTATAAGTTATAACCTTAATATAATACGGAGTAGTAATTAAATGAAGCATTACAATAGAAGAAGAGACAAATATATTATTACAAAATAGTTAAAGTTAGTACCTTAGAATTGTACCCAACGCTTCTCCAACGAGATAAATTCCTCAATAACGGCTTTTTAGTCAAAAGTTTTAGCAATTTCTCTTTCAATATAAACAATAAGGTTGTCTGCAACATACTCATCCTCCATTTTATTGCGAACCTTTGTTTTTATAATTTTCATTGCGGAAAAAATCCTTTCGGTTGTTGTTGTCGAAACCGGTAGAGTCAACAAAAGTCGGATCAATTTATCAACAAGCTAAGCAAGTACACTTTTGACATCTCCGTCTCCGCTAATCTTTGACAAAGTTCACCCATTGAAGAAAAATTCCCCAACTTTGGATGGTTTAGAACATTGAGCTTATAATGTTGCAATTGAAACCTCAAGCTCACCTTCTCCTGCTCAATAAAATCAAAGGGGTAATATTTATCCACCAAAGAACGGATATCATCAATGTTAAAAGACTTATATGAGTCCTTAGGATCCAAAGCACCACTAAGAGTAAGAAGATCCATTATCTGATCACCGAATCTGCTATTCAGCTCCAACAATTATGAATCTATGGCTGCGTAAAACATATCAACCCGATAGTGACGTTCAATATCAAACCCTTCTTGATCATGGCGTTTGCTTTTTACCGCATAAGGAGACTTCATATTAGTAACTTCAATTTCATGCTTTGTGCAAAACTCTTTAACAATTTCTAAGAAGTTATCCCATCCACCCTCCCTTAACTTTTGGACCAACATTTTGGTGCTTGACACCAAATGCATAGCATTTACTATGTCTTGGCACTTCTTCTGTATATGCTGACATAGAAGATCTGTAATGCCCATAATTTCTTTAATAAGATGCAACAAGAAAACAAAATCAAAAGATTTAATTTTCTTAAGTTCTCTAGCTGCATTTCCACGAGTAGAATAGTTATTGCCATTCTCTTCAACATCTTCTAAAACAGAACAAGTTGCAGCAAACATCCTAATCAAACTGCAAACAGTATTGAAATGTGAGCTCCAACGAGTTTCCCCAGCTTGTTGTAATGTACCAACCTAATTAAGTCCTCTGCTTGTTTCAAGCTCACCAATTTCCAACATTCTTGCAATTTCAAGTGCTTGAGCTTCCTTTAATTCATCACTTCGTTTGCAAGAAGAATTAGTCACATTAATAATAAAGACTGAATCGATGAAAAAATTGTGCACATATTTCACCTCTCTAGAAGCAGCAACCAATGCTAATTGCAACTGATGTGCTAAGCAATGAACATAGTAGGCATAAGGACAATCATTTAAAAATAATCGATCTTTCCGTTTCTTTCTTCTAGGTGCGCATGTTTTTCATTGGTTTGGTCTGGGCGGTGGGCTGGGATTAGATTTTGGGGGGGGCGGGGTTAATGAGGAATAAATTTTGGAGTGAGTTGATATAATTTTACTTGTAAAATTTCTATTTTTTTAGGCTCTTAAACAATTGGGTTTCTGCGAGTGGGCTATGCTTTGGGGGAGAAAATATTTTTTGGGGGGGTTCAAAATTTTTCTTGGAGGGGCGAGAATTAAATGTTGGGGGGGTAAAAATAAAAAATTTGTATATATATACTAAAAAAAAATTGTAAAACTATAAGTTTGAATGTTGTATTGTTATGACTTTGAATGATATTTTGACCAATTATCATTTTATTTATCACAATATCAAATATGCCAATCACCATATATTATTATTTTACATGTTCAAATATGTCGATTACCGTATTTATACAACTATTACTTTGAATGTTATATTAATATAACTTTGAATAATAATTTTTACCAATTACCATTTTATTTATCACAATTTCAACAATAATAAATTAAAATCTGAATGGACCCGAAAACGGAATCAACCCGACCGAAACCCGAACTTTTTCAACCCGAAAAACCCGATAATTTTTTTGATCGGGTAGGGTTTGAAATTATCAAACCGATACCCGAACGGGTTTACCATTTTTGAACCCGACCCGCCCGAACCCGACCCGTGCTCTGCCCTAGCGACATGACCTTGTGGAGAACAAATGGGTATCCAAAACCTACAATAATAGATATTTGTGGGCCACTGCTTATCTACGGGATCAGTTTTTTTGGTCGTCTACGGACTACATCTCAATGTGAATCCATTAATGTAATCATTAAGGCATATATTAGGAAGAAGTGCAGTTTTTTTTTTAATTTATGCATAATTTTGAGCAAGCCTTGAGACAGTATAGAAATAATGAGTTTGTTGCTGATTTTAGATCTTCATATGCAGCACCGGAGCTAACAACATCACTTCGAAAGATAGAGGAGGACGCTGCAAAAATCTTTACGGGGGAGATTTTTCAAGAAGTGAAAGAGCAGATTATAAAGGGCTGTTCATTAATTGTTGAAGAGCGAGTAGTAAACGGAGAGCAAGTCATATTCCGATTGACGAAGTATTGTGATCCTAATTATGAAACTGAAGTGCTCTATCAATCTGAAAAGGTGGAATTTTTATGTGCATGTAAGCGATTTGAGTCTCGCGAAGTTCCGTGCTCACATATTATTTGTGCTATGAAAGAGGAGCATCTGGACCATATTCCGCGTCATTTAGTTCTAACACGTTGGTCAAGAAATGCTAAAGCTTCTTTGATGTCGTCTGAATCCTTAGATTCTGATGCCTTGGTGGCAGCTCGCTTTGCAGGCTATAGTGGCGCGTGTATGAGGTTTTGCAAGGTTGCCGCAAAAAGGAGTGAGTTATACAAAAAAATGGATGACTTAATGTAGCCTAATAAAAAATATGAGTTGTTGGAGATGAAGAATTCAGAAGATCCCATTGGTGCAAGTGGTTCATCGCCTAAGCACATAGGCGACCCGAATATAGTAAAGACTAAAGGAGCTCCAAAAAAGAAAAAAACTCAACATTAAGAGGTTGAGGCATTGTTCAAAGTGCGGTAGCACAAAACACAACGCAAGAACATGTAGGAAGGAAAATGATAAGCATGCTAGTGAATCATCTCCTTCAAACTGCTCAGAATCTAGTTCAAGATCTGATCGTGTGAGTATTTTGTATTTGAAAAGTCATAATTTATTTCATCATAATAATGGATATGTGTATATATATAGTAATTCTTCTTATTACAGGGATTAATGTGCAAACCTAGTGCTAGTCAGGATCTGAAGAAAAAAAACATCAAAAGGCGATTCAAATTCACATAATGATGGGGTAAGCATACTATTATATCACAAAAACTATATGGGATACCTTATGATGAAATTTTTTCTTTATTCGACGTGTCATTTTTTAGATGATTGGTTGTTCATCTGCGGGGGGTCAAAATGCAATGTCCCAAATGCAGACTATGTCTCCACCAATGGAATTCTCAAGAGACAGGGGGCATGTTAGTTCAAGTCAGAGATTTTCACACTTTTATAATTATGATGATGTTCCTTTTTATCCGCATAATTTTGAATCAACTATCCGTTCACAAGCACCGCAGGTTTGTTGGTTTTAGATACAACTTTCTTTCTTT